AAGGACTCTGCTGGAAAACTTCATGTGCTGACACTTGAAAAATTGGTCCAGGAGCAGGGGAAGGAGTTGAAGGAACTCAAGAGAATGATGCTCAAACAAACCAAGGACCTTCAAGAACAGAAGGAGTTCCAGGAGAAAGAACTTCACAAGGCTCTACAGGAACAGAAGGAGGAGTTCCTAGTGAAGCTCAAGGTGGTTGAAGAAAAGTTGGAGGCCTCTGCAAAGCAAACAAAGGAGGACTTCAACAAGATTCTGGAGTTTCTTGAAACCTAGCCTACCCCATCTCAAATTCAGCCTACTCCATCTCAAAATCAGCCTAACTTTTTCTCTCACTGTCTTAGTTATGAACATATTTAATTTTCGTTTTTAAATGTTTGAACAATTGATTTTGATTGTAAATTTTTAAAATTGTTCATCTGGATGTTAAATATTTTGGTTTATGGAATGAATAGTTGGAACATCTGCTTTTACTAATGTGTTTTTGTATCTTTTGAACACTTGTACTGAAGAGTAGATCTTACTTGAGGTTGTTTAGCAGCGCTGCCTTTAGTTTCCCACACTCGATGAATTGCTTGTGGGGTTGTTGGTGGATGTTTAATAAACTTGAAAATACAGGACTTTTTGATAATGCCAAAAGGGGGAAAAGAAGAAGCAAACATGGAGGCTTAAGTTGTTCTGGGTTCCAGTTGAGAAAGTATCATAACTTTCTCAGTTTCGTTTACTTTTAGTTTACTTAGCTTACTTTTAGTTTTTGTTTTATTTCTGTTGTGTGTTTATTTTCTGTCAATAAATTTAAAATACAAAAATACGACCTTATATTTTGTTTTAACTTTCTCAAGAGTTTGTTTAAGTTTGTCATCATCAAAAAGGGGGAAATTGTTGATGTTTAAAGGTTTTGATGATGAGGAACTTGAGTTACAGCAAACTCATCTCATAAAGACTTTTCAAGTGTTTGTGTAGCCTAGGTGAAATTGATCTTGGAGATGGAAGAAGTAACTAAAGCTGAGAAGACTTGAAGGAGTTCTTTATCAAGAAAGTTATTCAATATAAAAGAAGAGTTCCCTTACAGGAACTGAGTTCCCTCATAGGAACGTTCCTTCACAGGAACTTGAAGATTGCTGACTAAGATCTTTGGAGGAACTTAGTAAGCGTGAAGTCCAAGTAAACCTACCAGAACAAGAATGCAGCGCAACAATGTTTTAGTTAAGATTTTATCTTCTAGATTCATTGTTAAATATGTTAAGTAGGATATACATGAAACTTATTAGAAGCGTGACAGTTAGCTTGGCAAATAAATTAAAATCGGAAAAGATAAAAGATAGAAATCGGAAAAAGATTTTCTTTAAATATTTATCTTTTAAAATCAGTTTGTTAAAAAGATATTACGCTTTTTAATTCAATATTTCTATCTTATTTTCCGAAAAGATTTTCTTCAAAGGATTTCATTAAAAAACCGTGTTTTAAGATAAGTTAAGTTTTACTTATTTATCTTTATGAAAACCTATTGTTTATACAGGTAATACTCGTATAAATAGTAGAGAATATTATGAGCCTAGGTTTTTGTGAGTTTTATGCGTGAAGAATTTACAGAGCTATAGTTGCGTAAGTTTGCCAAGCTTATCATACTATCATATTAGTTTCGAGTTTCATGCATAGCTTTCCTATCATATACTAGGTGTTAACTCTTGTATTTGGTTTCAGGTTTATCAGGGTAAGAGTGTTTTTATCATTGCATATAGAGAGAGCTTCTGGTGAGAAGGGGAAAGATCTGTACTTAGGGGGTACGAGTGAGTTTGAGTGTGGGACTCAAACTGGGTAGAACAAGGTGTTGTTCTGTAGAAAGTTCATTCTCGAACTTGAGAGTAGAGGCTGAATTATAATAGGTTGTAACTTGGTGTTTGCCCTATTATAGTGGAATTGTTTGAGTTTGAAATCCCTAAGGTAGGGTCGAGGCTTTACTTCTGGTTGGGCACTAGAAGGTTTCCTCGTAAAATTTGTGTGCATCGCAAGTTCCTATTTTGTTCTGTTTTATATTTGCAAAATTATTATTTAGGAACTCAACTACAATTCACCCCCCTCTTGTAGTGTTCATCTCAGTTAACAATACGCATAATTAATCATAATTATTTATGTACACGTAATGAGTTATAATATAAAGATCAAATGATATCACATAATTTATCTCACGTTGATCTTGAATATGAAGATTTCTTACAAAAAAGTGGTTATAATTGAAAATTTTCCAAAAGAAAATTAGTGAAATTGTTACAACACTTAAGAATTGGTGGGGACGTAAAAGACGTTGTGTTTAGTAAGATTTTGCACCATGGGGTGAAAGTTTTTCTTAAGAGAAATGATGGTGTTTTTGTTTACTTTTTCTTAATGCCTTTAAAAGGAAATATGAATCTTTATTGCTTGAATTAACTTTAATACAAGTTTAAACTCATTAGAGTGTTACACAGAACAATCAAGAAAAATCTAAGAACAATCAGCAGCAGGGGAATAGAAAAAGGCAAGGGGGAAGTAGCAAGGTAGCAGCAGCATAAGGGGGGGCAGCATAAGGGAGGGGAGCAGCATCAGAACAAAACTAAAAATTGCATGAAAATAGGTAAAACTAGCATGTTTACCGCAATCTGTTTGGCTTTTTTACTAGCCAGAACCTGTCCTTTTCCAGGTACTTCCTTGAAGTGCGTCTTCAAGTAAAGCTCCCCAGCATTTGGGAGGACCCCGCCTTTTTCCTTAGCCTACACATAATTATCGAACACATATCACTTATAAGTTAAATTTTTATGTTATAACAATCCATTTACGCTTTATACAACCGGCCTTACCATCCTCTTTGCGAGTTGTGCAGCAGAAATCGAACCCTGGTAGTGAGACGCTTCAATTACATTAGACAAGGAACCACCTCTCCTGTTCTTCTTGTTCTACTCAAATCTCTTAATGAATTCTGGATCGGTTTTTCTGGCTTCCATCATCTCCTTGTGTGCTTCGTCACTCATCCATTTAGGCTTCTTACCACCCATCTTCAAGGTGACTTGGTTGAACATGTCATGAAGTCGATATCTAGCTTTGGAGTGATACTCTTTTCTTACTTGTGCATCAAGGGCATCATCCCATTCAAACAGTTTCTGCAGAGGGAAAAAACCATTAGTTAGAGAATAGCTAGCAAGGAAAAAAAACATAAGTAATAGAATAACTAGCAAGGATAAGCGTACAGTAAACAAATTCCACCAATGTTCCTTGGTGCCAGCATCTACTACCCCATAGTTATGCCATCCGTTCCTAAAATAGCCTTGCATGTATTGCATGATGGCCTTAGCGATCAAACTATCGTCAAACCTTGCATTATACCATGTAAACAACAAGGTAAATTGAGCTTATTTCCATACTAATAAAAGCAGCAGGTTATACCCATACTAATAAAAACAGCATTGTACCATGTAAACAACAAGGTCAAATGTATTGTTCATATGTTGATTGTTGGGCAGCAACAAAATTTTTTTTCATGACATATAAAAACAACAGGGACAGCAAGGTCTAGACAGCAGGGACAGAAACACAACAACAGCAAGGACAACAAGGGGCAGCAAGGGCAGTAGGGGCAGAACCACAAAAACATCCCTCTCCCCACTACATGAGAAGCAAAAAGACAGTGAGATAAATTTTTTTTGTATGTTACAACCTGAAATTCTAGAATGGTTTGGCTCAGAAGCGAAAAAGTCTGCGTGATTCCTATTAATATTATACAATACATACAAATACCTAGTACTACTATCTTATTTACTTACCACAAACCAGTATGGTGTAATATCCTCTTAGCTAGTGTTTGGGAGCTCTGTCCTTGCTGACCACTCTGACTGTGTAGATGCCGAGTCTGAGTATGTGGCTGCCGAGTCTGACCACTCTAGCTTTGTGTCTCTAGCACTTGTGTGTTGTTCCCAAGTCCCAAAATCCCTTCTTCCTCTGACTGTGTCTCAGAGTCAGGAATCTAACTGTCTTCCAACTACAAAGAATGGCTAATCTTGGATCGAGGCATCTTTCCACTAGTACCACTACCTTTTTTTCCCTTCCCTTTCATTGTGTCCTGTACTAAATTAGCATAACAAGGTAGAACAATGAATTAAAACAACCTGACATGCATGATTATCAATACATAAAATCGGATCTAAGTTTGAAAATAATTTACTAAAAGTATACATAAAACATACCGCATATTATCTCAAAGGTTTAATTTAATAGCTTGGCAAAAATACAAACTTTACTACATGGCAAATTATAATCATAATACGTATCACAAATATGCTCTACTCCTGGCTATGCTCGAAACTTTCATCACCATCTTCACTGTTAATACCATCATCGGAACCACTATCTTCATCGTCACTATCATCAAACCAAACAAGATTATCCTCGTCCTCATCGCTGTAGGTGGATTCAAATTCTGGTTCATCGTCACTGGAGAATGGACCTTCTTCGAGAACAATCTCATCATCTGATTCATTACCAACGCCGTCATTGTATGCAACGTAGTCGGGAATGTCTTGGGGTGCACATAATATTGTAGGTGTATCGGGACTTGTTTCGTGCAGAAACTCCAAGTCAACGGGAGCATCAATGACTGATCTAGCTTTTGTTTTAATCACCGCCCACCACTGTGCACGATCTCTTTTCAAACTAGGGTAGGGTGCGTAGTACACCTGGCTAACTTGGTAAGATAACACAAAAGGGTCGTACATTGGGTATTTTTTTGTATGGTTTACATCAATGATCTTGTATTGTTCATGTATTGGCATCCCCTTGATAGAGTCCATCCACTTGCATTTGAACAATAAGGTCTTATACGATTGCACAAGACCTGTGTAGACAAGCTCAATGGTGTCCTCTAAAGTGCCAAAATACTGTTCACCCTCCGCATTTGTGATACATACACCATAATTCATTGTGGACTTGTATCTTTCGCTGATTTCTGTTTGAAAGTTAAAACCATTGACAAACAACTACCTCCAAGTGCGTACACGACTAAAAGGTCGCATCGACAATGCATGCAACACATCTTTAGCCGGCTTGTCATGAAGAACCTATAAAGATCCAAACGTTTTAGCTAGATATGTTATAGATTTAGACTTAACCACCGGTATCATAACTGAACAACCTATTACCTTATCTCGAAACCAATCGAGAAATTTCTTTTCAAATTGCTGCCAGACATCTTCCCTACGCATATTAGGTCTTGATTGAAGAATGTGTTCCACAAACTCCCTGATAGAGGAACCAAAGTTAGGATCTATTACGTATTTGTAATCTCTTTGGAAAATCTCAAAACGAATGTTAATTGTTCACCTTTCATACACATCAAGAATGCCGCTATTGGATAAGACATACAAGTGTGCCCTTTCGAGTTCCTTAGTATCAAGACAACACATTCGTCCTTGATTAGGAGCACGACCACAATCAACCTTGAATAGTTCTGGGATTTTTTCATTTGGATTAATGTTAGAATCTACCTTAGCATTTGCATTTCTACTAAGGTCTCTAGTTTTTGTATCAACTCCATCTTGGTAATAATTGGAGAAAAAGTTTGTAATTTCCTCGGTAAGGTAGGCGTTGCATATAGACCCTTCAACTCGAGCCTTGTTTCCGATTTTGCGTTTCAAATGATTCAAAAACCTACAAAGACATACAAGTTTTATTACTATTTCAACAACATAGACACATTTCATAAATGAGTTTCTTTTACCTTTCAAATGGATACATTCATCGATATTAAACTGGACCGCCTAGTCTTGCCTCGTATGGGAGGTGGACCGGTAGGTTCTCCATTAAGTTGAAGAATGAGGGGGGGAAGATTTTCTCTAGCTTGAAAATAATCTCAGCAATGTTGTTTTGCCAACGGTCCATGTCGCTATGTGTTATTGTGGAGCAACACAAGTCTCTGAAAAACTGGCTGATTTCAGTTGCAGCTTTCCAAACTGAGTAGGGAGCAATTCTTTGAAGGCCACTGGCAATAGTCTTTCCATGAACACATGGCAATCATGGATTTTCAAGCCGTGGAGTCTACATGTTTGCATGTCTACACACCTACTCAGATTAGAAGAGTAACCATCAGGAAATCGTAATTCCCGAATCCATTCACAAAGGACCTTCCTCTGGGGCTTTTCGAGGGCAAATGGGGCTTTCGGTTTGGACTCTTTACCTCTTTCATCAGTAACAACATGGAGTTCTGGTCTTCTGCAGTATTTTTCAATGTCTCGTCGAGCACTCACTGTGTCACAAGTTTGCTTTTTTACATCCATGACTGTGTGAATGAGTTGATCAAAAAGTTTTTCTCAATGTGCATTACGTGCAGATTATGACGTATGAGCAAATGCTTCCAATAAGGAAGCTCCCTTAGAGTGCTTTGCTTAAACCAACCTTTCTTAGCCTTTTTAAGCAATTTCAGATCTGCAGGACCATCAGTTGCCTTCGGGAAGTCCTTCACGCATTCCCATAACTCTAGACCGGACATAATATGCAGTGGTGACCCCTTTTCAACTCTGTTCTTACAAAAAGCTGTTTTGCTTTTCCGAAATGGGTGATTTGGATTAAGAAATTGACGGTGACAATCAAACCATGAAACTTTTCCACCATGATCGAGCCAGAATGCTTTGGATTTGTCTAAGCAGTACGGACAAGCCTTCTTACCAGAAGTTGACCATCCAGATAACATTCCGTATGCCAGGAAGTCGCTAATGGTCCAAAGTATGGCGGCCCGCATTGTGAAGTTCTGCTTCTTCGAAAGATCATAAGGGGTTTCCCCAACATCCCATAACTGCTTAAGTTCTTCAATGAGTGGTTGCATATAGACATCCAAGTTGCTCTTTGGGTTTTTAGGACCGGGAACTAGAAGAGACAAAAACATGAATTACCTTTTCATACACAAAGAAGGAGGCAAGTTATATGGTGTCAGTATGACTGTCCAACAAGAATATTGGCCCCCAAACTTACCATGAGGAGCAAACCCATCAGTGCACAAACCAAGTCTCACATTTCTTGGTTCTGATGCAAATTTTGGGAAGGTCTTGTCCAAGTGTTTCCACGCATCACTCTCACAAGGATGAGCCATTGTGTTTGCAATTCTAGGATTTTTTGCGTGCCATGTCATTTCATGTGAAATGTTCTTTGTTGCAAACAACTCTACAACCTAGGTGTGATCGAGAAATAAATAAGCACTTTTAAGGGCACTAAACTTCCTTTTGATGTCTTGTTGTACCTTTCGCAACCACACACTTTGCATTTGGATAAGTCCACATCATCCTTCCAAAACAACATGCAACCTTTTGGACAGGCATGTATCTTCTCTTGTGGAAGCTCTAATCCGTTCACTACTTTCTTAACCTCGTAGAAGGTCTCTCCCATGTTGTTGTTGTTAGGAATTGCTTCATTCATCAAAGAAGCAAACCTATCCACACACCTGTGAGGAAAATTGTACTTACACTTCAAACTTGTAGTTCTAGACGCCATTTCCAAAACAGACATAGTACTCCCTTCATATAAAGGACGCTCAGATTCCTTCAGCAGATTAAGGAACTTCTTAGCTTGGGGGCTTGGCTCTTCTTCCTCAAAATGACTCTCGTCTCCGACACCCATGTTAGGTGGGTCATTCCCAAAGGTGTCCAATACCATTTCATTGTATGGATTAGGTTGTGGGTGTGGGATGCCAGGAAAACCTTCACCTTGACACATCCATTCATAATAGTCTAGAAAAAAACCCTTTCTATACAAGTGCACTTTGACAGTCTCCGAATCATGTAGCTGCCGGTTTTTACATATGACACAAGGGCATCTAACCTCGTCAACTTTACTGCTCTCTGGATGATCTTTACAAAACTAAATGAATTCATCAACCCCATTCACGAACTCCTATCTAATGTTTCGGCCATCAAGCCTTTCATACATCCAGCTACGCTCTGTTCGTTTCATTATTGCAATTCTACACATCTTACCCAAATGATCACAATATTCAATCCAAATAAAATACTTATGGTATTTGATACATTATTAAAGAAATAAATGAAGTTAATATGAATGAAGTCCAAGGGTCCTTATCTCTCCAACCTAACTCATCTTTGGACGTGTAATCCCACTAGTGATTGTATGCCAAGTTTTCAATTCTACGGAAAATTCGGCAGCATTTCCCTATAGTTCTCCAAGTACGTAATGTAAGCAATGATGTATACTTATATATGTACCCAGAGAACAAAAATTTGGGAAAAAAAGCAATTATGTATACTTATATGTGTACCCAGAGAACAAATTTGGGAAACACGTAGCCTGAATTTTACATAGACTCAAAAACAGGTCCAAAAATCACCACTTAAGTGAGATTAAGTGTCTTAGAACAGTCCCTATCGGGACAATTCAAGCCATAAACCTAATGTGTTTGACTTGAACTGGTATCTAGGTAAATCATGATGCAATTGTTGAATCAAAATTGAGACATGTACATGTTACATCCATACACAAAATTATAAACCACAACACGATTATTCACATTTCATTGCATATACTAAGTCATATAAATTAATAAATCATTCTAAAAATTTGCAATTAATTCACAACAAAATAAATTTTCATTCATTGTAGAAACATATATTTTTTAATTTCCATAGATGGTACTAACAACCAAATAACAAGCTACTAACATATTAATATAAAATGCTAATTACAAGCTAACAACAATCTACTAACATGGTACTAACAAGCGAATAACAAGCTACTAACAAGCTAATAAAATATGCAAATAACAAGCTACTAACATATAATTTTAAAAACAAATAATAATAAATGATCTAATAACATAAATTACAGAAAATTAAGTTATTATTATAAGAAACAAAATTGTATTGGAAGTACAAACTAGTGTAAACAGATTTAGGGAGTTCTAACACAAAAGGTTAGGGTTTTGACAATTGTTATTGAAAATTAAACAAATTACTCACCTATAGGAAGAGATCGTCGGTATAGTTGATGCTAGGTTGTCGAAACTGTTAAGATTTATGAACTGTCGATAAATAATCGAGCATAATGTGCATAATTAACAAAAATAATGAAGTTTAAACTACTTACCACTTCACACCGGTTTGCAGCCGATGGAATGTGGAGAGTTAGTTGCGTCACCGGAGGGTTGCTGAAGGCGGTGGTGTCGCTTTGCCGTTGAAATCAATGACCGAGCGCCACCGCTGAGCAATCAAACTGTCGTCGCCCTAAACACTTTCTCTCTCTTGGGTTTTAATTTCAGTTTCGAACTGAAATGAATTGGGGATTTTTTTTATATACTGAACAAATTACCGATGGCATTACCAATGGTAAGAGGCCATCGATAAAATTATGATATTTTTAAATTAAAATCACCGATGGAACTTACCATCGGTTAAACAGAGGTTTTATTTTTTTCGTATTTTTTTTTACAATGGATTGACACCATCGGCAATAATTTATCGATAGTATAGGCATCGGTAAACCAAAGAAACCCTGATGGTTACTTTAACTATCGGAAGATGTCAAAAATATCGATGATTATTCGCGGTCGTCGATGATTGCCATCGGTAAATAGCATTTTTCTAGTAGTGTGTGAATGTGGAATATTGTAAAAAGGTGTAGAAAGGCTTAGAAAGAAAAAGAAAGAATAAACTTCTAGCCTAAAGAGAGAAGAATAGCATTAGATGATTGCTGGTGAATAAAAACAGGGAAATACGACCTTATTTATAGAGAAAATAGTCCATAAACGCTAAAAAAAAGAGTTAGAATTCGAATCAGAATACAATTGGTTCTGTCGCAGAGGGGTAGGCTCCAGCGCAGCGCAACAAGACTATCGTGGCGCGCTAAGAAAGTTTTTTGCGTATTTTGTTTCATCATATCTTTTGATCTAGATGTCTAAATAAGTCGTATAATATGTCATTGGAAAGATCTTGAAGTCTAGTTTCCAACCCAATTACAATCAGATTAAAATGTTTTGTAAATGAAAAGATATGACCGAAATAGTGAAGGGTATCAGTTTTGGATAGAGTTTCGTATTTTTTTCATATCTTTTTCGTTATAGCTCGGAATTAATATTATAATATATCATTGGAAAGATAATTTCAAGATCTATCTAACCATATAAGATTTAGATAAAATTATGAGGCAAGAAAATAATATTTGGCTATCTTTGAACATCTTTCAATTTGAATAGAATTAGGACTTTTTAGTTTTATCCAATTCCAAACTCTTTAATCTTATCATTTCAAAAAGGATAATTAAGATCTTTATAGAAAATTAAAAATTTTCTAATAAATCCTAATTATTTTAGGTTTGGGATTAAAGCTTTGGACCCTCCACATGATCATTAGGTCGTAGGTAAAATCCGGTTTGGGCCCAGTTTAGTATTTTGGCCATAATTTCCTCATTATTCATCGGAATTGGGCTTATAATATATCATTAAAAAGATATTTTTGAATCCAATATAAATACACCATTATTGGACCCTTATCATATACTAAACTAAATTTTAATGGACATTTTCATAAATAGAGTACATTTTCGAAAACAAAAGGAAGATATTTTTATTAAAACAACCGCATCACAAGACTTTTCACACTTTCACTTCGTTTGATAATCAACAACACCAAAGGTATTCATCACTGGGTTTGGTTTTTGGGGAGATACAATTAGGTGTCTACAATAACTTAATAACGTTTTTTTAAAAAAAAAATTACTATTTAAAACAAAAAACAAACGTGTAATAATAATGCTTTTATTTCATAATTTCCAAAATACATGTTACAATTCGATTTCTAAACTACTAAATTAAAAAACTTTGAAGTACAGCTAATGTAACACCCCAATAATTCTCCTATTTCCAAACCACTTACTTTAAACAAAAATAGAGGAGAACCATTGGCATGTTACCGCCATGTGTTAAAACGTTAAGGCTTTATCAAAGTATCGCAGCGGAAAATCCAACTTAAATCTTAAAATAATATAGTAAAGAAAATCAATAAGTCAAAGCTTACAAACTGGAACAGTAAAAGCCCTTATTTAAGATCAAACCAATATTTAAAATCCCAAAACATAAATGAAATAGTAAAACATAAATATGTTCAACACAAAGAACGAATACTCTCAATCACACCAATCCCTTGACAATGCGTATGTCAAATCCTCAAACTTCACATCATCAAGCCAACCTGTGCAATACTGCTCCCTAATAACACAAGTGTAATAATTGGATCATCACATGATCATTGAAAGGCGAAGGTCATGACCAAAAAGAAACACATACAAAAATACGCAATCACAAAGCTGAGTACATACAAGCTACAACGTACCAAACCTAGCATGTTGAATTAATTAAAATAAACAAACATATATACAACGCGAATTCATTAATCAAGACTCCACACTTGAAAAATTCAATTGACTCAACATACTTACTAACCAATTCCAAACACTTGACTCTTTAAAGTTAATTTAATTAATTTAATCTGGAGTAAGCAATAGACGAGGTTGTCCAACCCACCAAATCATTTTGGTCCCAATTAACCATTTAAAATAAAAGCTTAGCGCAATGCAAAAATGGGCGCGACTCCATTCTTACAAAGTTAGTTTAGCATCCCTTCTAACTTTCACTATAAAATAAAAATGTAAATACCAAAAAAGAAGAGGACATGTTGATCAAACAAGCCTCGGAAAGCCACGTGCTAGCACATTTTACCACAACCCATTATTGTCAATACTCTAGAAATGCACACTTTCCAGAGTTTTATTGCCCATCCATGTTTCACTTTACGTGCGTGATTACAGATTTAATCAATAGCCGACTCATTCAAGTAGACCATACATAACAATCATACATCAATTCACTTTTAATCTTATTTAGGACAATGGTGATCACATCACAAATTGACCTTTAATTCCTTAAAATTACAAATTATCCAAAGTTGTTGAGCACAGTTAACCCACCTAGCCATTTCGGCTTAATCCACTTTTACTCAACATACTAACAAGTCACGCTTGAGTAATAAATAAAATAATAATAACCTTGTGGAATAATTAATACATTCATTCCACTTAAATCGTTTAATTCCAATCCTTCGATAATCAAAATATGGTTAACAAACCAATCCAATAAAAATATGCTTGTATCAACATTCCATACAAACAATTAATCCAATATAAACAACATGCTTGCATCCATAATTCCATACAAACATAGTCAATTCACTAAAACATGTCTCATAAACATAAGCACATGAATTAATTAAATGTATAACAAAACAATTTTCATCCAAGTGCTCTCTAAACATGAAACTAAATTCTTTCCTTTTGGTACCTAAACATGATACTACTTACAACAAAGTAGACATGTACGTACCTCGTATAAACAATCCTTTGTGCCACTTTTCACTTAAAAATCTTCTAGTGAATAATCACTTCCTAGAAAACAACCAACAACCATAAATTAATACTTAAACAAATTTCTAGCACTATAAATTTGATTAAAACTCCTTAAAACTTCTTTTAAAACATGTTTTATGCCTAATTAATCATAGAAATACAATAGGAACAAAATCTTCAATTTAATTGATCGTTAGAACCCTAAAATCTCAATTTAAATAAATTAAAACCCTAGTTTTATAATTTAT